CTCGAACTTGAGTGTAATCATTCCAGCTTCGGTTTTTGACTATTCGAATTCATTGTAAGTTAGTTTTATTTACCCTGCAATATATTAAGTAATCTTATAATTCAATCATCATAACTGAATTCTAAATTCATAAAGTAGAAAATGGGTCGGAATCCTACCTCCAATCAAAGTAATACATGTTCGTTTATTTGAAGCATCTCCGATGTGCCACAACGCAATATGCAAAACTAATGTGTTTGAGTTTTGTAGAATCACCGCTTTATGAAATTTAATTGCAAAAATTGCTAGGAGTGCGTCCTCCCGTTGCAGAACTTAAACGAACGATACATACATTAAAGAATATTGCCGTAATTTTAGCAATCGAGACTCTGAATGCGATAGCATTTCTAAGATTTAGTAAAATTTCCAGTCATAATATTCTAATTGTAGGCACCACTGGGACTTAGAAATAATCTAAAGCGGACTTATGAGAGCTGGCATCCCGATTTCTTTGCAAAGGGTGGGTCTTTAACGCGGACTACAGCTCTTGCTGGCCTCGCCTGGTTCCATGCTGTCCTCCAAGAACGACGCAGCTTCATTCCACAGGTAGGCTGTTAGAGGACTTGGGGTGTTCTAATTTGGCTCGTACACTTCAAGAGTTGGACGAAATTCTACGAATTCACCTCCGTTGACATTCGAGCTGCGGCAAACACACTCGATCGGCTCATTGCGCCTGCGGTCTCCACCGTGCCCACATCGGCCATCTGGCCAACCGTGAGAGGACTACTTGGCAGTGCCATCTATGGCGGACGCATGGAGAATGCATTCGATTTCAACGTGCTTGAATCATTTCTAAATTGCATTTTTAGCGATTCAACTCTGAGTCTCCGGCAGTTGGGCTCATTGAAACTGCCAAATACCATTAATTTGAAGGTTAGATATTCATACTATCGGTATTTTTTCGGCATTATTTCTTTTTAATGCATCATTATAGAATGAAGTACGAAAAAGACGTACAATAGTAAGGTCTAAAATCAGGTTTAATGAGCAGTATCAAAGGTCTTATTAAAACTTCCAACAAATGCCCTTTGTCGTAAGTGATGGTCAAATAGTAGTTGTTAAGTTGCCTAGCACTCTACTTGAATTTCAAGTAAGGTCCTGTCGGGAAGTTCGCTAGTGGGTTGAATAAGGATTCCTTTTATGCTTGGGTCGACGCTCTCCTATCATGTATAGTCGAGGTTCTTCCTGTAAAAGTTGTGATAAACAAATGTTGAGCATTTATTTTGACACTGCTGGGAAAAATTTTTAATCATCAATTTTTTTGAACTTGAGCTATTTTAACCTAATATCCAAGTGTATATGAACGACCGGAGATATAACTACATTAACTGGTAGATTTCAGAATTTACTTTACCGGAATTCAATTTCATGATTTTTTAAAGCATACACGTTAATAAAGCCACTTGTTTTTCTGAACTTATTGCAATGAGTGCCGGTAGGTTTCCTATTACTCCTTGGTACAAAATAGGATTACGTAACTGCTATCGACCAACTCCCCGATACGGACAATCCTCGCGACCTTGGACTACCAGCAAATATCGGTAAGACGGCTCAGCTTGCCGCAGCGGCGGATGTCCTTGGGCAGCTGCGCCTTCTTCAAAGCCTCATTGGCTCATCGGACCAAAGTGACCGGAGTCTTTGGGCAGAGGAGCTCAGTCCTATCCTCAATCTTTGGAAGAAACTCAATCAGGACGGAGCTCTCTTGCCAGTAATGCCTTCCGTACATCGATACATCTTACACCCATTTTGGCGCCCGGTTACTGTACGATTCGAGTGTGTTCAGTCATTTAATCACTTTCTGGGGTCTTCCTAAATAATATCATTGCTAAATTGATTATCCCATAACCATTGAGTGTTGTTTCTACTAGAAAATCTAACAGAGCATTTCTTTACACTAAATTTATGAAGAACAAGGATAGCCATCTAAGAGAATTGCTGATGAGGGTGGAGGAGAAATCGCTGCGCGACGCTAAAAAGTCTCCAGTTCTCTCGTTTCTGCACCGTGAAATGACAGGTGCCCTTAGTCTTATTGCCAAAATTCACAATAACCTTGGGTCCTTGGCGAAATTTCTGCGTGGAACCCAGGTTCTCTCGCAAGAATTGTACGTGATAGTTCGTTCACTTCTCCTGAGCAGGACACCTGCTGCTTGGCTAGTCATGTGGAGCACAGGGCCGGAAGACTGTTCTTCCTTTATCCGGTCTACCGTCACAAAAACGCAGGCTCTACAGGTACCGAAACTGGTCCGTTGCTTTACCATTTCGCAATTGCCCTTGGCACATTTAGCTATAACAACTATCTTGTTATAACCTGGATAGACATTTTCCACTTTTTAAACAAACCATTGTTGGTGTTTCAAAATGTTATTTAGTCTTTTTTGTCTTGTATTTCCCAACTGAGAAGTAGCCGAAATATACAAAAACAATGTTATTTTTTACCTTTTGTAGATGTGGACCGATTGTTCCCTTGTCGTTTCAATAATGCACGTTTCCATATACCCTTAAGTGCAGATGTGGATTGTAATCTGGTTTTAGAAATGGCTGCTTCGGTCTGAATCGTTATCGCAGTTGTTTTCTTCTGAAGTTGCTTACAACCTTGCTGACCTCTTCAATCCGTCCATCTTTCTCACCGCTCTGCGACAGCAGACAGCTCGCCAACTTCAGTTGGCAATCGAGCAACTGAAGCTTGTGTCAGAGTGGCCAGGCCTTCACCGAGGACTTGAGAACTACCCTGGTAGCGAAGTTCTTGCGATCTCCAACCTGCATTTAGAAGGAGCTCTGTTTGAAGATGGAAAACTAACTGACTGCTACGCAACATCCCCGGCTGTTTCAGCTCTACCTAATATTCAAATCGCATGGCGACCACTTGTAAGTGGAAACCTCGCAGCTAGTTGCTTCTTCAAATTGGTAGGATTCTCCATATCGATATCTAAATTCCTGTTAGCTGAAATAAGCTATACGTAATTATATCCCTTTCTGCTTCGATAGAATTTCGCTTCCTGGTAATTATCCCAACAACGCCTAGTTTTATCAAAGCCTCCAATTTGCTCACAGTGAAGGCAACTGTCCTTCCTACTCATGCTTGGCTAATGCTCGATTCTTTTTTGAAATGGTTTTGAAAATTCAAGCATTAGTTTGCCACTGTTTCTACACTCTGGTGTGATAGATCAAGGTCTGAAGACATTTATCTTATGCTTTTGTGATCGCAATGCATAAATAAGCACTTCTTGAAGGGTGATAGTGAGCCAGAAAGCTTTTCTGACATTGTGTTCTACCGATTAAATTGATTGATTCTGCCAACTACGACTCCTTTGAGTTACATTATTGCTGTACTCAAACCAAACACTTTTTTTCATATTTTTCAATGACGGATTATTTTTAAAACATCCGAAGCGACACATTGCTGCTGGCTGTTCCAACTTTGGGACTTTTAAAGTCAAATGTTGGCGAATTTTTCTTAGTATTGGGTTGAGTAACTTTCAATATATGTATAGGGGGCCTCTGAACTCCTCGTGGCGGACGAGACCGTAGAGCTGCCAGTCTACTTTGATGCGACACGCGCATGCCTGGTAATGAAATTGCGAATTCCCTGCCCTCCTGGCACCCAGCAGAAATGGGTGCGAAATGGAACAGCACTGTTATTAAAATCTCTTTGATTTCCTGTCTTTCTAGCCATATAGTCTGCGTCGTGTTTTTAATGTTTACTGTCTTAATTGTGGCTGATTAATGGGAATATGCTAATATATACGACTTTTTGAATTGGATGGTTTAACCATTTCAGCCTCAGCCGTCGCTACTTTTATTAACACTTCAAAATAACGAATTTTACATCCAAATTTTGTGAAATGAATCCATTATAAAGCAGTAGAAGCAATTTTATTAGCATAAAAAGGTTCTGATAAGCACACTCAAAGTAGATCCGTCTCGCAATCTAGTACGGTCCGTGCGACAACGCTCTTAGCAGCAGTCTTAATTCAAAATGTGGGGGAAGACGTGATCTCGAAATTAACATTTTACGAGTGGAAAGTCGTACAATTGTGAGGTTTTAAATTGTGGAATTTCCCCACTCCTAGGCAGGAATGACCCTGCGAAGAAGCGCCCAGTCACCTTGTAGTGTTTGGGGCACTAAATGATGGTCACGAAAGTAACCAATGCATTTGTAATGGCTGTATAATATGTTGGGTACTTAACACTCGGTCATGGCAGAGGGGTAACTGCGTCTCCGCCATTGGACCTCCGCTGGGTTGGCTGGTCTCCTGGTCATGCTAGTAGTCCCCAACCCTACTGCATGCCAAATGTATCTATTTTACCCATGTATTAAGTCTCTTGAGCTCAAATATTTGCAGTTTTGGCTGCCAATTTAGTACTTAATTGGTATGCGATGTCCATGACCTTCCACCAACAGGGCAAGCTACAGTAGTTAGCCTCCCATGGTGGTCTAGATAATTGCATCCTCAATACTATTATAGAACGGCACAAATCGTCAGAGGCGTGTGGACCAAACGCGATGGACGCGATATTAATTTTCAACTAGATATCACATGCATACCATATATACTAGAATTTATGAATTTAGCGGATTTTGGTCTATTTGGGGATATTTTCTGACTTGTTTATGTTATCAGAAGAGTACTGCTTCTTGCCTTTGTTATTGTATACATTTAATGTAAGATGTGTATAACTGTATTTCACGCAGCAATTATCAAACAATTTTGAATTACCAGGTATTATTGGGTAATGCAAACTTTTATTGTTTTGACGCGAACTAGTTTGAATTTGTTTCTGTCATTGTCAAGTCCGCTATTTAAAAAGACGGTCAGTCTTATTACCTTTGCATTGCAATGATAAATGCACCGGGCTAAGTTACTCTTTAAATCTACCACATTTATTGGCCTTGGGTCCTTCATCCATTCCGGTGTTATATAATTGTCGCCGGTTTGGCTTATTTGCTTTGTTCTTCCGATATGTTTAAACTCTTTCTACCCCGTTCGAGAGGCGCTACCACAGTTTGGAGATGTGGTGACTGGTTTTACTCAACATACAAATCTACGAGTTCTGGAGTAAGTTGATCAAAGTATTTAGTTACTTTTAGTCACTACGAGATGTCCTCGAAGAAGCCATCACAAAGCACCGTGAAGTTGTAGCATCTTTTCGCAAGGAACATGGTTCCAAGAAAGTCGGAGAGGTCACAGTTGATATGGTAGATCTATGCAATAATGAAATTGCATTTCTAGATGTATGGTGGTATGCGAGGTGTTAAAGGACTAGTAACGGAAACTTCGGTCCTTGATCCGGATGAGGGCATACGGTTTCGTGGTTACACTATTAAAGATTGCCAAGAGCTACTTCCAAAAGCACCAGGAGGCAAAGAGCCGCTTCCTGAAGGCATACTCTTTTTGCTTCTAACTGGCCAAATTCCTTCCGAAGAACAAGTTAAGTCCGTTTCCAAGGACTTAGTCGCCAGAGCTTCTTTACCAAGTCATGTTCTAAAAATAATGAAAAGCTTCCCTACTACAATGCATCCCATGAGTCAACTCGTGTCTGCCACAGCTGCCCTCAATTCGGAGTCAAAATTTGTGGCTGCTTACAACAAGGGTGTCAGCAAGAGCACTTACTGGGAGGTAATTTCGTCCCCTCACTCATTTTAAAATATTTGTTACTTAAAGTACGTCTATGAGGACTCCATGGATCTGATAGCCAAGCTTCCCACAGTAGCGGCGACAATTTACAACAGTTCTTTCCGTGATGGAAAAAGTGCGGAAGTTATGGATCCAAGTGCAGATTGGTCAAAGAATTTTGCACACATGATGGGCTATAAAGATCCCCTTTTCGTAGAGCTTCTTCGCCTCTATTTGACGATCCATTGTGATCATGAGGTATGAGCTGTCAATAAGCCTCTGAGTCTTTTGTAATGATGCTGTTTCATCGATGGTTTTCTCTTCGTTTGAAGGGTGGGAATGTCAGTGCTCACACCTGTCATTTGGTTGGGAGCGCTCTTTCTGATCCTTATCTTAGCTTTGCTGCATCAATGTGCGGTCTGGCCGGTCCGCTTCACGGGCTCGCGAACCAGGAAGTCCTCACGTGGATTATGGATCTGGTTAAGAGCAAGGGTATGTCACCTTCAGATGACGAAGTACTCCAGTATATTAAGACTACGCTGGAAAGTGGGAGGGTATGTGAACACACGATTTTTTAGTGCCTAATTTTTAATAAGTATCTTTCATTAAGTGTTTTCATTCACCCCCATAGGTTGTACCTGGTTACGGTCACGCGGTGCTTCGAAAGACCGATCCCCGCTATACGTGTCAACGAGACTTTGCTTTGACTCACATGCCTGATGATCCTCTCATCAAGATTGTCGCTCAGTGCTTCAAGCTTGTGCCCCCCTATCTTGAAAGCCTGGGCAAAGTTAAAAATCCATGGCCCAACGTTGATGCCCATTCTGGCGTGCTTCTTCAGGTACATCGTTTTGTGCTTATATTGGTAATATCGTTATAATTACTCACAATTAACCTTCTGCCACCGCAGCAATGATAGCATCAGCCATACGAGTGATTACCAATCAATAAAAGTTATTTTTTTCCCCAAAGCACTTTGGAATGAAGGAGATGAGCTTCTATACGGTCCTCTTTGGAGTATCGCGCGCTCTCGGTGTGTGCTCATCGCTCGTCTGGGATCGCGCTCTAGGTCTCCCAATCGAGCGTCCCAAGTCGTTAAGTACCGATGGTCTGCGCACTCTCGTCAAGGCCACTTGAACACTTAGTTGATGCTCTTCACTGTGTCACTGTTGCTGTAGTTGTCTTCGCGTATTCTATTTCACGACATTTCCGTTATGACTGTTTGCTTTCTTTGGAACTCCTTTATGTCATTTGATTGTTTATTGTCTCGTTGCTTCCTCCCGGTCACTCATCTACTCCTCTTTATTCTGCATGAGTTTGTTTTATCCTGACATCTGTCCTGACTAAATGTAGTATTTGTGTCAACAATATGTTTTTTTTTTCTGGGCGTTTGTTTGACTTCTTTCTGCCTCTGGCGATTGTGGTCTTATCAATCACCATCGTAGTGTACTGTGCCTTTTTTGCGCGCTTTTACGCTTCGTTGTGATTTCATTGGTACTTTTTAACCTGCAGGCTTATCGGGTTCAAAATGATGTAAAAATTTAGGTTCTTTCGTTAATTAAATGAACTCGTTTAAGGTGTTTCGACTGTGTGATTGTGCCATCTTGCAAAAGTTGATGGCGTTTGAGTGCTGCGAATGGTACGCTTCAGTCTGTGTCAATCATCGAAGAACCGTCTTGCCTGTGTTTAATGCGATAGTTTTGTGTAAGCGGGGACTTCACTGAGTGGCATTCACCGACAGTGTTTGAGGTAATCTAGTCACCACTTTGATTGTTTTCATTCACGTGACTTCAAGAAGTGATTTTTCTCCCAACTACGAGAAAACATCATCGGTGCGTTAGTTGACATGGCAGTCTCTATTTAAAATATGAAATTTTGCAATTGGGACAAAGTTGAGCTCCCAAACATGCCAGTTTTAAAATATCCTGCCTAGTCATTTACCATTTGTTCAGAATCGGGCTTTGGTCGCAACACTTAAGTTATTTAGCGCAGTATTTTGAGTTTTACGATAGGTTTGCTATGTAATTCCGTGGTTCTAATATACACACGTGGGATCTGTAACAATGGCGCGAATCCACGATTTATCGTAGTGTTTAAATGCTAACAGATTGAAGTGGTCCACTTTGCTTCTGGTACTGATTCATCTATCCACATTAAACCACTTGTCACTTTGAAATTATTAACCACCACTGTATTTCCGCGCCCAATGACCTCCAAATATGGCTCACTAGTCAGAACTCTCGTGGGGCAAGCAAGCGAGCTTGCCACATTGGAGATCTCGATTTAGATGAGATTCTAATACTTATTCACAGTTGTAGGTTTGTAATGAGTTTTGAAGAGGTTGACTTTTTGGACGAGGTATTTATGACGGAGCAGAAGCAGTATTCGGAAGCCTATTGCAGGGCCTTCCAACTCAGTTCGCAGACCACACCGTCCTCGGAACTCCCTGATCGCAGCGATGAACTGCATTCTTTCTGGATCCACGGTCTCCAATATGGTGCTCAGCTGGGCTCGGAGCTTTACTCCTACAGGGGCTTGGCCGATGAGGTGGTCGCTTCCTGGACGTTGGGATCTGTGTCTCCCTCAATGGAGGATGTGAACAAGCATCATTCCGTCCACATCGCTCAGCATCTCTTACACCTCCTTAATGGCTCTCCTGGACCTCTTTCGCGCTCATGTCAGGAGTTCATTAAGCATCCAACTTTCGAAACTGACCTCTCGCTTATACGCAGCAAGGCGAAGCAACTTATGGCTGCGCTTAAAATTCACACAGCCAGGAAGACTACAATAAACTATGACTTTTAATAAAGCGTTCCTTTTGGCTGTTTAATTTTTTTTTTAACTTGGACTTTCACTTATTTTGCTGAGTACGAGGGCCTATGCCATTTCGAGAAAAGTGAAAAAGTTTCCCCAAGGAGTAGATTCGAATCAGCTACTTATTTGTAGTCTTCATTCTGCTTGTGAATTAGGTACAACTTTATATAGACAAAATAACTGCGTAAGCTCATTTGGATCTTGGTGCCTCAGTTTGTGCTAGGGGAAATCAGTCTGGTAGCCCCCTCTTCATCATTCCGCAACACTGGTCTAGTTGTGTTTAACCTGACGCCTTACTTGGAGACATTCACTGCAAATGCTACTGCAGTGGCGTATGCTATTTGTAAACAAAAAGTGATTTGTTGACCCAGAATGTAAAAAAGTATTTGAAATCATAGGGAATTCCGTGGACAATATTGAGCAAATCGACATGTCACTCGACCTCTTCAAGCTATGTGAGCAGGAATCCAGAGCTGCGAATGCATTTACAAAAATGAATGAGTAAATTAGTCTATGCTTGCCGTCTTCTGATTTTCCCACTTTCAAATCCGATCCTCGTGTAGAGGGAATTTGCTGTTGCTGGGTTGGCTTAGCTGATTAGCTTAGGTACAAATTTTACGGCGAGTGGACGGCTTTTTAACACTGTTGTAAGGGGTGAGTAGGTGAGGGCTTTCAGCAAATTCTCCAAAAAAAAACATGTGGGTCTCGGCCTTCTTAATTCACCGCATCTACTAGATCTGTCCTTTGATGCAGTCATCAGTCACTCTGATGCAGTAACGCCCATTGAAGGATTGCTTAATGATGACGAAATCACAAGGGCCTTAAAAAAATTTCTGATGGGGACGTAATGGTTCGTTTATATCCACGTCTGATTCCTTACGAATTTTTAGTTAATTTCTTTTACAGTTAAGCAAATCAGCCGTCGTGGCTTAGTACACCTTCAATTATCCTCATTCCTAGAGCCTTCATGGTGTTAAAAATCAACCTTTTTCTCAGAGATTCCTGTTAACAATCCCTGCTAAGTTCTGTAATTTTGTTTTACTTTCTCGGTGATCGTTTACTGGCTTGCCTCCGCCGGAAGCAGCAGATTTGCAGCTAGTAATTTGGTAAGCCACTCGCCTTATTTCTGCTGTGCAGTTAGGGTAACATTTTAACATGCAAAATCCTGCTTTATTCTGAGGTCAAGATGACGGGCTGTACCGGGGCAAAAAAAAAACTACCCTTGAATGTATAGGAACCGTTTCATTTACCCAACCTTCTTATAAGACTCGCTGATCGCACTGACCGATAAGCATGATGCATTTATGTAGCGTCCCGAGACCCCCTGAAGACGAAAGAAGACACAATACTCTGGCAGAATGTACATATTCAGCACGGAGAAGGTGTCTGGGCTATTGGCATGGCCCAAAAGGCCGGCCCACCCAGCGAGGTACAAGGGGCCTAATTCAAAGTACAAAAGTGGCGCCTCACCAGAACCGAGGGATAAACCACTATCGTATTACACTTATTGCCCTGAAGCCAGTTTTCAATGGCTGAAGTGAGAGATCCTCAGCTTGTCGCGGTCGCCATGGCCAGAGGGTCTGTGTGGGAGTGCACACGTGTTTTTCTTTGGTCAGAAGGCGGACTAGAAACAGCGATTACCACGCTACTTCCGCTAAGGTTTAGTCGGACGTGCTATGATGGCCATTATCCGAGCGATTGTGCAACTGAACCTTAGTTTTAACAGACGCTATTACTGTACAACGTCTTGGCACGTCAAAATAATGCACGTTTATGTATTCCATTCTTGAAATAGAGGATTGCTACAAAATTCTTCCTATGAAAAGACCCTGTGTGGAAGGGGGTTGTGGTGCCAGTCGATAGTCCTGACAATTTAGTTTAAAACAATTTTTGTATGCACGAAACGTGGATCCTAAGCCTAAAGCTGGGATATTTACATGAGATTGGAATTAGTGTAAACAACTAAGCAGATCGCCCCAACGTCGCCTGAGTAGAAGTACTGGGTTTCTGACTTGACATCCTTCGGATTTGGATTGCGATCACTACGTAGCGGGTAAACTCAATCATGTAAACTTTTTGCTTTCTAGCCTTGTTACTTTCCCCGAGATACCACAGCTTATCACTTGAATGGAGTGTATGTGCTCGCCTTGTGATATTTATACATTTGGACATTTTTTATGTCATTCATTGTCTGCTAAACGCGAATATTTGGCAGAATTAATCCGCATCATTTACCAACTCATACCGACCAAGAATTTCGAAAAAAAAATATTCAGTTAGTTAAGTCCTTATATTTTTTAAAGTGCCTTCCATTCCACAAAAGATTTCAAAACTTTTGCGTCTTTTACACGTACTCATGATGATTTGTACAGTATGATAAAAAGTTATTTAAGAAACTGAGTATTATTTTATCAAATGCCAGTTCCGGTTTTGGCTGTTGCCAACATTCAGAAGCAAAATCTGCCTTATTTACTTCATCTTTGCTTGAAACCCAGTGGCAATAGACGCACACTTTTGCCTGCCCTCTGCGCGTCCGTTGGGCGCGCCCATCACAAAAAGCGCCGCTCCTGAGGCGCGAAAAAGGACGAGTGCTTTTTGTCTGACGGGACGAGTCACTCACTTCGCTAAGCATGCATTGTCTGGAGCTAAAAGTGGCACAAATGGGCAGTCACGTTGG